CTAGCAGAGAAGCTGAACTCCAGAGGTGGGGTAATAACCATCTAATTTATTTTTTTAGAATCAGATTTGCAGAATATTTATCCCTTCAATGTATATTCCATATAGTTCCTTACAGGAAAAATTTTGCTTACAGGAAAAATTTTACCTACACTTTTCTCTTCACAGATTGTTAAAGATAAAACTTTATTGAAGGTACTTTTTGTTTCTTCCTGAACCTATCTTCTCTTTAGATCACTGAAACAAACCCGAAGTTATTAAAAAAAAAGTTAGAAGTGGGGTGATAAGTTATCACAGTAGAAATTTTCCTCACCAACATCTTGTGACTCTCTTCCTTTGGCAAAGGAACGGAACACAAAATATTAGGGATAGATGTGACCTTCAGTGTTTTCTAGTCCAATCTGCACTTTTCAGTCTTTTTGTGCAGAGGAAAAAAAAATGAGGCCTAAAGACATTGAGTGACTTGCCCGAGACTCTAACAGGCAGGAGAATACACAACCTGGTGGAGAGGCAGGTATCATATTGGAGGCAACAGCAATAGTTAAAACCTTGGACAATGTATCACTTGACAAGTAGAATGTAATTGTGGGACCAGAGAGGCAGTTCTTGTGCATTTTCTGTACAACGTATTTGACTGACGAATCTGCTCTCTGACTTAGAGCCTGTGTGGACCCACTAAAACTGACTGGAAGGAACTCACAATATCCTGGCATATTTAAAGAGGGTTTGGCAGGCCCAGCACTTCCTGTTGAGGCTTCCATACTGTCCCACAGAGTCGTTAGAGATGTCCAACAATGAAGTGATGTTTGGGAGTTTGTTTGCTATCCTGATTGGCTTCTACTACTCCTTTCTAGATCTATGATTTGTTAGAGATGTAGCTGTTCTATCTAAATTTAATTATCAGCTACTAAGCTGGGAGATGGGAACTTCATTAGTCCTCTCTTGTTTCTTCTATTGTCATGATTTAAACTGCCAGGCCCGGTCTTCTGGAGTGTGGTTACAGCACTGTATCGCTTCATTATCTAACCACAATTCTTATCTCTTTATAGAAGAGTAGCACTTTCTCTTTTGGTTATGTAATTAATGACACTGGTGTATACTTTACCAGTTACAAATTGCTACTATCCATGCTCCTAATGGCTACAAGTCTGTTCTCTAACTAATGGCCTCTATTTGCTTCTTGGAGAAAATGTATGTGCTGAACATATGGTTTAGCTCAATTAATCTCTTTTTATATCAGTTTTATCTTAACAGGTTAATGAAATTGTGATGTGTATCAAATAAGTAGGTTCAACTTTTATCATACATATTTTTTATATCATACAGCTTTTCATCATTTAACTTTAAAGTTTAAAATAAAATTAAAGTTATACGCCTGAATATGAAAGAGCAAAAGTGTTCCCAAGAACTTTGTAATATGTATCTCTCAGAGATAAAACATATACATAAGATAAAAAGTATGCATATTAAGAATTTATAAAAGGATCTGATGAAGATTTTGATCTATAATTTTGCATTACTTTCAACCGAGAGTCTGTGTGTTTATTTCTCAGAACCCCAGGATACTTTACTAACATGACTGCATAAACCTATCCTGCATCTTTAGCTTTGTCAGTATTATCTTTTATGCAATATGGTAGTCCTTAGGGAGTATTAATTGCTAGCTATCTTTTAGCTACTTAAGGGCAATTTTGGAACAATTACCATGTATTTATGGGAATGAGGTATTCATTTATTTATTGCCTTTGTCTTAAAAATCTCATAGCACTGGAGTCAAGAAGATACAGTATAAATATGCCCACTTATCTTTGTGTGAATTACTCCTTTCTCCATCTCTAACACCCACCTCAGCAGTGGCACAACACCATTATTTGGGGCTCACTCGTACAAGTTAAAACTGTAACGATGATTGCCACTCAAAAGCATATTGAGTCTGTCCTTTCTCAATGATCATTTTTTGTCTTTTCCTTCCATCCCTGCTGCCCCCACTTCTTTCTTTTTCTTGAAATGGAACAAGGGCCTTGACTTAGGGAGCATACAAATCTGGCTATGTGGAGGTCACTGGTTCCCTTTTGAGACTAGATTGTCAGAGATGAGAAACAATCACTGTGTCAGCTATTTGCATGTTTATGTGAAATAAATGGAGTATTTCAAACTGGCAGACAAATGCCACCGACTATCTCATTAAACCTATTCAGCTGACTTAGGATAAATAAATCTTACTACTTCATAGGGCTATAAATCATTTTCCTTTTCATATACTTTTATGTATATATATGCATATAAAATATATGATGATATGTGAATAAAACACATAGGAATATATGACAAAGTCACATAATGTTATTCATCAAAGGGAGAAAAAAGATCTAATACCTTTCAACCTCTAAATTTATTGTTCAACACTTATTTCCAGATATTACGTGCAAAAATACATGTAAGAAGACTTCAACATAATATTTAAGTTATTTTAAATGCTTTGGGAAGATTCACAACCCAACTTCAAAATTACATTTTTCCTTCCAGAGAGATATAAGACAGAAGGAATGACTTGAAAAGTTCATGCTAAATTAATGACAAGGAATTCAGAAAATATAAATGAAATAATTAACATGTTATTTCTTCTCTCTCTTTTAAATTATAGTCTTTGCTAGCTATTGTGGTATAGCTGGATCTTTCCAAATTTTATTTTATTTAATTTATTTATTTTATTTATTTACTTTATTTTAAAAAGTAGTACTATATGATTTTATTCAGATTGTCATTTATTTAATGTTATTTAATTCAGATAAGATAAAGATAATTAAAGTATAAAACTGGTTGATTCATGTAGATATAGAAAAAAGAAAAAAAAAAACCCAACACACACACACCCCATGGGTTTTAGAGTCAAAAAGACCTCAGCCTGAATACCTGCCATGCTACTTACTATGGGTTAGAGGTCTTTCTGCCGGTTAATTAACCTGTCTGAGCTTCAGTGGATAATGATAGAATAGTTGCTGTGAAAATGAAATGGTAAACTATTTGTGTAAAGTGCCTGGCACATAGCACCAATAATGGCTACCATTTAATGTGGCTTATTATGACACATACTATGCTAAATGCTTTATACATTTACAAATTTAATCCTTACATTATTTCCTATGGAGTAGAATTATATTGGCCCTATTTTTATAGATGTGGAAGTAAAGGAGAGATGGTAAATAATTTACCTAAAGCTGCACAAGTCTTAAGCGGCAGGAGTAGATTTCTAACTTTTCAAAACTTTGTGGCTTAAAACAACAGTCATTTTATCTTCTCTCAAAATCTTTATGGGTTGACTGGATTGAGCTGGGCGGTTCCTTTGCTCTATAAGATGTCAATGGCAGCTACAGCCATCTGGTGGTGGTGGTGGTGGTGGTGGGGAGAGGTTGCAATGTCTGAGATGGCTTATTGCAAGCCTGGCAGTCAAGCTGTCTCAGGGGGCTCAGACAGAGCTGTGGACTAGACATTCTAGTTTTCCTCCTCTCTGCAATACTGCTTGAAGCCTCAGCATATGGACTGGCTTTGCTCAGTACTGGAGGCTGAGTTACAGGAACGAGTGTTGCAAGACGACAGGATCCAAAGTGCAGACATGTAAGATGCTTCCACTTGCATCGCACGTGTTAATGTCCCATTAGCCAAGGCCAGTCACGTGGACAAGCCCAGAATCAATGGAGAGAACAAGAGAAGGGCCTAAATACTGGCAGGCCCCATTAAGGTCACTGAAGTAAAAGACCAGTTCAACAGCTGTCATCAAGAGAGAAGGAAGCAAACCATAAGAGACTTAACTATAGAGAACAAACTGAGGATTGATGGAGGGAGGGGGGTGGGGGATGGGCTAGATGGGGGATGGGTATTAAGGAGGGCACTTGTGATGAACACTGGCTGTTGTATGTAAGTGATGAATCACTGAATTCTACTCCTGAAACTAGTATTACACTATATGTTAAATAACTGGAATTTAAATAAAAACTTGAAATAAAAAAATGGATAACCATAAAAAAGAAAAAAAAGTATTCTTTTGTGTCTTTCAGACTATTGAGGCTGTCAATAATCTTCTGCTCCCCTTGGGCAGCATGTTGGTCAATGCCTTGTGAGAGGGACTTTGGAACACACAGTCAATTAATGTTTTTTGTAAGGCTTTTATACTTCCCTGCTTTCAAATATGACATGAAATTTCAATGTCATACAAATGGTTTTAAAAGAAATTTCAGTTTTATGAAAAAAATGCTTCTCAAAGATTGAAATTATTTTTTATGAGTTTTTTCAATGCCATTCTCTGTTGGGTTTTATATGTTATAACTCATTAGTGAATAAAATAAGGAGAAATATAGTTAAGGTTTGTGTCCTATATAGCAATCTATTTATTAGAGTATAAGATTAATTTTGTATTTTTAAGAAACTTCAAAGGAATGGCTTTGATCCCACTATTTCTGTAAAAACAGGATTTTTTTTCTTGAAGTTGTAATTCTTTTATCCATTTTATATAAATTAAAATAATTTAATTCTAATGGCATTTGTGTAGATGGGTTCCATTACGTAGATGTAAAAGTCTTACTTCAGATAAAGCATCTCTATTTGTATATGAGATTTTTTCCAAACAGAAGTATTTTACCTTAATGACCCAAAATATTTAAACTGTTTCTTCTATTAATACTGAAATTTTAGCAGCTTTAGAAGTGAATAGCTTATAGAGATTAGAAAAAAACTATAATACTTTACTTTTGATTCATTACTTCAAGTTAAATTAGCAAATGATTTATAGCTAATAAATACCATTTCAAAGCTGTTTGGTGACCAATGCAAACTCTGATAATGTCGTAGCCTAATATCAAGACTATGAGGGGTGATATCAGAGGATGATATCCAAACTAAGTTATCCCCTTAATGGCTATGGTACTGCTATTAAAGTTTTGTTTGTTTGTTTTTTAAGGAACGGAGATAGATACATAAAAGAAGTAATGAAGAAAATCAGTACTTACTTTTTGTGACAACACCTTCTAGTCGAATGATATTTGGGTGGTCAAACTGACCCATGATACTAGCTTCTCTTAGAAAATCTCTTCTTTGTCGATCCATGTGGCCACCTTTCAAAGTTTTGATGGCAACGGGGATCTCTCTTTTCCCTGGTGTCTTCAAACGCCCACTACAGACTTCTCCAAATTCTCCTTAAAATATGAACAAAAGCAGTTGTTTGTTTAAACAGAGTGCAACTGAATTGTCACGTTACCATCTTTTTGTTTTTTAACATAATGAATGTTAAGGATGTCATTTCTATATGGAATTTTCTTTCTTGCAAATTAAATTTGTAATGACAATATGCTTGATCAGCATCATTTATAATGAATAACGGAATGCATTTTCCTATGGGGTAGGACAGGAACTACCATTGATAGATATCCCTGATCTGCACAGAAATTATGACTAGCAGAATGAGTGATGCTAATGTAATTCTATAGAAAAGCAATCACTGCATAACATTTCCTGTTCCTGTTCTTAATACTGATTTTTGGGCCAAATATCTCTCTATTCAGGGAATCCATCAGGCATGTGTAGTGGATTTGACCCTGGAGGCCATATGCCCGAGCTTCACTACCATCAGAAATCAATGCATGGGTCAACTGGTATATGAACATATTGAAATGACTACACTGAACTCAACTATAATAGGTGATTATACAAACTAAATTACAAGTCACATGGCTGGAATACAGATATAGTAAGATGATCTATGGCTCAGCAATGGCTTCATTGGGCAGTAAGGAATAATAGCCAAATATTTATGATGAATTTACTACATATATATCCAGTGATAGAGGGCTGTGAGTTTCAAAGAAGTATAACAGTTGGTCTCTGTTCTTAGGAGCTTACAGTTGAGTAGAAGAGTTCAGCTGAACATAAATAAAACACTTAAGAACATAAGAACCAATCTCTGCAAACGCTGTATTCTTTAAGTAAGAACAGTTGGATCTGGAAGACTTTTTGGAGCAGGTCAATCTTTTGCTGGACCTTGAGTGATGGGTGCTGTTTGGATATTCAAGAAAAGCAGTGACATTCCAGACAAGGAGTGAGAAAAGTGAAGACAAAGCTTCAAAGGTTGGAAGCCATATAGACACAAGGATCACTAGAGGGGTTATTGTGGGAAAGAAGGTTGGAATTTTTTTCAGTGCAAGGCAATAAGTTCAATAAAGCTTAAAATTCCAGACTTAGGTTTTCTGAGGCTAATTACCTGCATTTACTTAAGAGTATGATGCTTGATCACCAATTTATTAATCTGGAAAGTGAAGATAATAAAGTCTTCCATAATTCTATAATGTCCCTTCCTCATAAGGATATTGGGAAGATCAAAAGTGATGATATATGTAAAAGTTCTTATCAACTGTAAAGCGCTATTCATGTGCCTTAAGTTATATGAATCTTCGGAAGGGTCAAAGAAATGAAAATTAAACTATCCTCAATTGGTTTATTAGCTAGCAGGTCTGGCTAATAGTTCAATGCAATGTAAATTTAAGTGTAGAGGCCCAAATCAAATTTTTGCAGTACCATAGATTTCAGTTATCTGTATTTTCTTTGGACCAATTCATTATAGTCATCTTAATGTTGACTATACATCAATATTAACTACTTCTTGGTATAAATGCTAAGATATTGTTTAAGTAAAAACAAAAAACAAAAAAACAAAAACAACCTAGGAAGGAAACAAACCAAAATATTGCTTCCTAAATTATGTGCAAACATGTCCATTAGAAATAAAAAACAGTCTAATGAGAGGGTTTACTCTATACATGTTAAACCAACAATAAGCAAGCAGAAAACACAGACTACAGTGGGGTCCCTAAGTTCAGTGCATATGATACTGGAGTTTTACAAATCTTGCTTAATTTGACATCAAAACAAGAAAAATCTTTTTTACTTAATGATGCTCTCAACCTGTTGGGGGTTAAATGTTCTTATGCTCACAGGAAAAAGAAGCCATAGTTTTTCAGTTTTGTTAGTAATGTTTCTTTTATTTTTCAAAAGATTTTCTCCCAGACATAAAAAATGGCAATTGATGGAGATGTTCAACATTTTTCTACTGAGGCTCTGAACTTTGACAGAAAAGGTATGTATATAAATTTAAGTTAATGTCCGATACATGCAGGCCTACTAAGATACTTGAAATTCCTTCTCAGATCACTGTGGTTTGTTACATGAGTATCTAGACAAGACAGATATTTCTTTTCTTCTTTTTTTTCTTTTACTTTGACTTAATAAGTCTGCTAATAAATATAAAAACTTAGCAATATTTTAAAACTCCTCACCTGCCATGAGCCCATAATCCAAGTGATTTTCTGTTAACATTTCATAGTAATCCAAATAAGCTTTTGAATATAGTGAAATGAACAGAAAACTCTGTTGTTATTTGATCAAGACAGGCAGAGTGGTAATTTTCTTTGGTTTTCTGTTGTCTGAAATTCATGTATCCTATTATCACCATGCAGGTATTTTCTTTATGTCAAACTGCACGATCAAGCTGTTATCACACTTATTTCAGTGACACTAAATATGGTTGCCTCAATTAAAGATCTGAGGCTCCTAGTGCATTCTTTAGGCAAAGTCCAAAAAATTCAGTTACAGAATGTATTAAAGCCCTTATCTGTGGTAGACCTGGATGTATCAGACATATCAGAGAGGAAAAAATATTTTAAATTAAATGCATAGTTTAAGATATCGCTAAAGACTGATCCATTATACTACTGTCCTTGCAGTAAGAATGGAGGCCCCGTACATAACCATAAATAAGATAAACCATTCCTCAATAAGATGTGTGGACATTTATATAATCCTGGTTAGTCCATGATTAACTTGTGACTATAGGAATATGGTGTTAACTACAGATTTTTTTCCTTTACCAATCATTGTCACCATCATTATTACACATGTAGCCCTTATACAGTGCTTACCATGAGTCAGGTCCAAAAACTAAATATATATTTTAACCTTGACAACAAACCTTTGAGGTAGGTACCATTATTATCTCCATTTTACAGTTGAAGAAGCTGAGATACATGAACTAAGTAACTTGTCTATGGTGACACAGCTAGAAAGTGTAGCTAAGTGACATAGCTAACACTGTAATTTGAACCCAGGAAGTCTGGGTCCAGGGTCCATGCTTACAACCACTATTCTTTGTGGTCTGGGATGTTTATTATTATTAACATTTTGTTATTATGCTATAATAATAGTTAGTATTGGATTTTCCATATAAAGTCTACATAACCAAATTAAAGCTGTAGGGGAATGGTGGAGGTAGTGAGGGACGATCCATCCTGGAGGATTATCATCTCCCAACCCCCTGGAGGCTTTCCAAAATTTTCTTCCCCTTGTCCAGAGATTCTGGTTCTCCCCTACTTCCAACCCCTTGAGAGTCACTGAAGCAAAGAGCCACACTCCCAGTGGCTTTTTAGAACATATCTCTCAGGTCTAATGAGATACTTCATTCTTCACATTTGCTATTTCCTTCTGACAGGAATGCTCTCCACAAATTGTCCCCCTCCCTCCTTGACTCCATCCTCCTCAGTCCCTCTCTATGTGGGTGGCTTCTTATTAGCAGTGAAGGCCAAGATTCAAGGTCCCTCCTTCATAAAACTTTCTCTTATCAATCCATCTAATTTAAAACCCCACTACTATTAGTTCCTTCCCAAATGAGAAAGAAAAAAATTAGCAGCTCTACAATCAGAAGCTGGCCTCAGTCTCAGAGCTGGGCTATGTTATTTTCCTATCACACACTATACCAGACTTGACAAGGTCACCCTGAGACCATGATAAAATGAGACAGAGCAAGGTCACTGCATAATTTTGCCTAAGCACAAAGGCAAGGTCACATGCCAAAATGCTAAATATGCCCTCCTCTCTTGGCTAAAATGAGTAACTGCTGCTTCTTTACCAATTATAACCTTATCCTTGTTCTAGTCTCCTCTCCATGTAGATAAAATTCATTAAGATACTGTAGTATAAGTCCTAAAATTAAGGCCCAATATTATGTGCTGCTTTAATATCTGGGGGAAATTGGGAAGGGCTCAAATAGCCTTCCCAAAGGCTCTCCCTCCCACTCTTCTCCCATACATAAGGTCCTCTAGCCAAACATCCCTCTTTATCAAATGGATCAGATATCATTCTTCCTTAACCCTGAATAGCAGGTTTCACTTTCCTGCCAGTCTGTGGAATGATTCAAACAAGCCAATCACATCTTCCTAAGGGAACCAGGGGGCACCTCATCTTAATGGTGCTACAAAGCTTGCCTTTCACAGGCCCCTGGTTATTTGCTAGGTTTCCAAGGGTAACCTCTAGGTGGTCCTGTGTGGTGTCTTCTTCCCCACCCCAGGCTGTGGATACATATAATTAATAAATATCTACCAATCTCATCTGTCTAATGTAAGGTGTTGTGTGTTTGGCATCCCATGGCCCTTGGGTGAGAATGTCTATCTCATCAACAGGGTAAAGCACTGTTGGTGGGAATATAAATTAGTGCAGCCACTGTGGAAATCAGTATGGAGGCTCCTCAAAAATTAAAAAAAAAAATAGAAAAACCATATGATTCAGTAATTCTACTACTGGGTATTTACCCCCCCCCCAGTGAAAAAAGGATATTGAAGATATATCTACACTCCCATGTTCACTGCAGCATTATTCATAATAGCCAAGATATGGAAGCAACCTAAGTGCCCATTGATAGGCAAATGGATAAAGAAGATGTAGTATATATACACAACCAAGTATCCAACAAATGGATAAAGAAGAGTGGCATATATACACAACAGATAAAGAAGATGTGGTATATATACATAACTCAGCCAATAAAAAGAATGAGATTTTGCCATTTGCAATAACATGGATGAACTTAGAGGGTATTATGCTAAGTGAAATAAGTCAGACAGACAAATACCATATCATTTCACCGATGTGTGGAATCTAAAAAACAAAATAAATAAAGAAAAAAAGCAGAAACAGCCCTATAAATACAGAGAACTGGTGATTGCCAAAGGGGAGTGGGTGGCAAGATGGGCAAAATGGGGTAAAGGGGAGTGGGAGGTTCAGGCTTCTAGCTATGGAATGAATAAGTCATGGGGATGAAAGGCTCAGCATAGGGAATATAGTCAATGGTATAGTAACAGTGTTGCATCGTGCA